GTTCAGAGACAAACTCCCAATTCTATAAATTTTTGGGACCCAAAATCAGGAAATACAATTTGATAAATGATTCCTTGCCCCAGGCTTACAGATATGAATGGTATGGGTTAGCTGCTAATTTATTAAAATGTGAGGCTGGTTTTGATGATTTACAAAGACAAATATTTAAAATTCAGAATTGTCCTAGAAAATCTGGGTTATCATTTCCCATATCACTCAGGAAAAAAAAAAACTGAAGTGTTCTGGTTTTTACAACAGTTAACCTGTAACCAAAAAATAGAGTTACTAAGACTTTTTATAAGTGGTCTTTCAACTGACCTCCAGCAGACTCAAAACACAGCAGGCAGACATGAATGATGTGGTCAGCTAGTATAAACCTAAAGGCTAAGTCACTGGAAAAATAATCTCCATGGGAGCAGTGATGTTCTCCTGAGGCTTGCCAGTGAAGTTCTTAAGTTTTTCTTTTCTTTTTTCCAGTGCTGGAAATCAAACCTAGAGCCTTGGGTTACTAGGCAAGTACTCTACCACTGAGCTATACCCCCAACCCCAGAGAGCTTCAGGAAAATGTCCTCCCCTACCAGTGTGGATTCACCATAATCTAGGTTTCCAAATTCAAAAATTGCCTATTCAAATAAATGCTGTCCAACTCAAACACAATGCCTGCAGTCAGAATAGATAACAACAGATGAAAGGACTACCTATTGGTTTATATTTAGGTCAGGTAAAAATTATTTTCATGAGCCTTTGCAGTTTAAGAAGTGGGAACAGCACACACCTTCATACTCAGAAATATCCTATTTTAAAAAACATATTAACACAAATGATAACATTCATTGGGTTGATTGAATATAAACAAATGATTAAATATAGCTTTTATTCTTAAATGAAAACCCTGAAGGCTAAGAGTAAGTGCTCCTTTACAGGACTAAGCTGCCTGACTTATCTACTGGCCTGACTATTTCCCTAGGTCTAAACTGAAGTCTACTTACTCCTTTTTGCAGATTCAGAAGTATCCCTGGTTATATGTTGCTGAATTTGAGATTGACCCCATTTTGCTTTAAAATAAAAGCTTAGCCTGGATTTCTTGAGAAAAAGCAGATGTCGGGCTCCTTGTTTCCACCAATGAAGCTGGAATGAGGTAGCTGTCTGTCTGCCTCTTTCATGGGCTGAGCAGATGAACCTCTCCCAACTTCCGGGGGGGGGGGGCGGGAGGATTCAGTTATTCATCCCAAGAATACATACAAAATTCCCATTATGTGTGGGGCACTGTTAGAGAGGACAAGAGAGAAGAAAAGGAGGAAAAGGAGGAGGCAGAAAAGCAGATTCTTTGCTTTCCATGATTTTGCAGGTTCCTAGAAGAAATGCGTATTCACATAGAAAATGTGAATAGAAAATAGAAAACAAGATGGACCATGATAAAAGCCAAAAGAGAAGGAGAATCCAATTCCTGGGAAATATGATTAAAGACACTTCCATGTGCGTGCAACTGGGGACAGGAGAGAAAAGGAATTAGGGATGACTTTATGGAGAGGGTCTCCAAGAGTGAGTATTCAGGACTGGGGAATACAGCTCAGCGGTAAAGCACTTGCCTAGAATTCTCAGGGCCATGAGTTTGATCCCTAGTGTCACAAATAAATAAATAAATAAATTCAAAGGACACCAGGATTTTACCCTATAGAGATGGGACAAAGACATTCCAAACAAAAATTCAGGAGCAAAAGTCAATGCTAGAAAGTACACGCTGTGTTCAAGAAACAGCAAGATCTTATCTGAATGGGACAAGGGCTACAGCAAAGGGATCAGTGAAGGAACCAGGCTGCAGAGGACTGGGCCAGGTCACATAGAGCCATGGGTTCTACACAGAACAAGGAGATCATGCTTGATTTGGTAAACACTGGTGAACTCATGAAGATTTTTTAAGCGGATAACCCTAGCAGGAGTGGAAGAGCTGCAGTGAAGGGGAAAAAGAATGAAGGCAAGTTCAGTTTGAACTTAGTTTTGCAGGCTGCTGCAAAAATTCAGGTAAGAAATCCTAAGAGCCTGAATTAGGACTGGGTATGAGATTAAAATGTCCTTGGGAAACATTCAAAAATAGAGATGAGCTTTACCTTGTAAACTAGTACTACAAGTCTGATCTTAATTGAAATTAAAAGACTTTAAATGTGAGCATCTGGAAGTGCCTATTAGTCAAACATTAAGCCACCACCATCTAACCAGGCCTTGAAATGTCCTGTGCTGGGTAAATATTTGAGCTAGGATGAAATAAAGTACAGATATTCCTGTAAACAACTATGAGGAAAGTGAGCAGAATTTGTTAAATAAATGAAAGGCCAACAAAGACAATCTCAAAGTCAGAAGTCAGAGGACAAACCCACTCCTCTGCAGGGAGAGGGGTCCCCATTTCAGATGTCCAGTGAAAGAAGAAAGGCACCAAAGACCCTACAATGAGCCAGGGGTTGAGGGTTGTAATCACTTCTGCTCTGTGATCTCCCCAACTAAATAACCAACCCAGAAGTTTCTCCTCAGCACTCAGTCTCTCTGTAGTATCTGCTGGAGATCTTGAAGTTCATTACAAACTTGTCCCATCCATAAAGAAGCAAGTAACAAAACTCAGAAAACAGAATGAAAGGATTTTCTTTCTTTTTGGGGGGAGTACTAGGGATTGGACCCAGGATACTCCACCATTGAGCTACCTCCCCAACCCTTTTGTTGTTATTTTAAGATAGGGTCTCTTTAAGTTGCCAAGGCTGGCCTTGAACTCCTTCTCCTCAGCCTCTGAGTCACTGGAATACCTTCTTAAAAGAAATAATAAAAATCTAAGTTATTGGGCTGAGGATGTAGCTCAGTGGAAAAGTGGTTAGCTAGTATGTTCAAGGGCCTGGCTTCTATCCCCAACACTACAAAAAGAAAACAAAGTTATTTTCTGGGCCAAAGAAAATCCAGTACTTACTTCAAATAAAATACAGGACCTACCAAACTCCTGAGTTAATCCAGCTCCACTACTTAATAACCATGACCTTGCTGAGCTTCCATTTCCTATCCACCCAACTCACAGAATTCTTAGTGAAATGGGCACATGTAAGGTATCTAGTGCAGTACTGGGTCACATTTGGCCTTCATTGTCAGTCCCTTTCACCAGAAGATGACTTTAATTATATCACTTGATCCCAGGAGATTGCCTCAAACCACCACTACTTTCCCTCCCAGCCAGTTTTCTAAATCCTCCAGACTAGATGCTATTGAGTTAGTCCCTTGTCTTCCTATTCTGCATCCCCCCCTTCCAACACCCCACTAAAAACTGTCACTATCAGATATGTGATGAAATGCTTAAGAATATGCACCACGTTCTCAGGCACATAAATTTGAATCCTAGTTCTGCCTCAGACTAGCTGCTGATCTTAAAGTCACCTGACCTCTCTGGTAATAATTCCTGCTTATCTTCCAAGGTGGTGAAATTTATAGGAGTTCTGCCTATTAGATGTTAAGCACACTGCCTAGCCTACAAAAAGAACTCAATAAATGCCAGTGATTGCTACTATTATTCCATTAGTTCTTTTTCCGATGTGTCCAATCTCCACTTCCTTTATTATTCATATCTTAGCCTGACCCTCATCATTGTATACCTTATAACTAGCTAGCTTCCTGGCTGCTCTCTGTCTCTACCCTCTTCCCACTCTTTGTGTGTTTATGTGTGTGTGTGCATGCATGTGTGTGTTACTAGGGATTGAGCCCATAGTTGTGCTATCACTGAGCTACATCCCCAACCCTTTTTATTTTTTATTTTGAGATAGGGTCTCACTAATTTGTTGAGGCTGCCATTGAACCTACATTCCTCCTGCCTCAGCCTCCCAAGTAGCTGGGAGTAGCTAGGAGTACCAGTATACACCACGCTGCCCAGCTAGGCTCTCCCTACTCTAATCAAACCTATATCCTGGTTGCCAAACTCAGCTTCCTCCTATGGCCACTGGTTCAAGAACTTGCTGAGGCCAACTACTTTCAGTCCAAATCTCCATCTACCCTTCCCTCAAATCCCTACCACTTCCTAAAAACACATTTTCCACTCCCATCAGCCAGGCCTTCTCACTGTCGTCTGAAGGAAGACACTATGCTGGTTCCCTCTCTTTAAATCCTTGGCTTAAGACCACCCTTCTCAGTTCCTCAGCCTCCTCCCTGCCCTATGACTTTCCAAATACTACTTCATCCTGCAACCTTCCCTCACTTTTCATGTCATCTGTAAAGATTTCTCCGATCTAACCTCTCCCCTCTCCTCTCCACACTCTTAACCCCTGAAGTTCTGGTCAATGCAAAAGCAGTTATATTCCCTGGGCCCTGAAATTGTCCTAATGGCACAGGTAGACCTAGAGTAAATATTTGGTAATCACATCCTGTCAAGTGAAGGCCAAATGGAGACACAGTAGTTGAATGGCATGCTAGGATTTTGGAAATTACTAGCAACACAGGAAACAAACAGTAACTATTATAAAGAGTTCAAATTTGGAATTACTCTTAAAAGAGTCCAGGATGACTTTATACCACAGAAATTCCTTTGGTATTAGCTGGTTTACTTGTCTTTTATCTTGGATTCATAAAAATAATCACTTTGAAAAAATTAGATTGTTCTTTTCTAATTGCTGGAACTACCTGAATATTTGTTATATAACCTAGAAAAGATGCCAAGCAAAGGATTATATGTCAACTCCTCTCCCCATTACCTCTATCTACTTCCCAACCACTCCAAATAAACGTGTAAGTAAAAAAACTGGCTTTACTGTGCAAATGTAGCTCCAGGAATGGTCTGTTAAGCCCCTCCTGTACTGAAATTTTGTAGCTACCACTGCACCCAATGTTGGCATTAAAAGGATAATGAACACCCTGTCTGCCATGGACACAGAGCAGAGGGAGGGCACCATCCTGTATATCAACTACTCTTCCACAAACATCACATTTCTCCACCTAGGAATGGTGCTTTCACCCTCTCCTTATGAGGTTCTGCATCTTACCACTGTCCCGAAGGGTCTGAGTCAAGTCTTCCACAAGAGCCACTGCCTCTTCACTATTTTCAGGTCGATGCTCTTGCAGCCAGGCCTGAATTTCCTTTGGAAGCACAGTCAACATCTGCTCCTTGGTATGTACCTCTGGCCTTAGCCAGCGTCGACAGAGTTCTCGGAGGCGACCAAGTGCACCCTGTGGTCCCCCAGCTATTGCCTCTTCCTGAGGGATGCCCTTGCCAGTATTCTGGGAAAAAGGCTCAGACTCAGGGCCATCCTCCTGCAGTACAGCTTCCTGCACCCAGGAGTCATCCTCCAGGATCATAGTGGTGACCTCCTCCTCCTGACTGTTTTCCTCTTGCGGCACCTGGACCAAAGGACTGAGAGGAGTGGTCACTGTTGGCATGTCTGCAGCCATTATCCACCTTCTAGGGTGATCACTCAGGCTTTTAAGCCTTGAACGTCAATCTTCTCTAGCCACACTTCTCTGAGAAGACACCTCCCTCCTTCAACAAAAAGACCTGCTGAGACATAAGATAGAGAACCAGAATCAGTAAGTGTTCTAAAGCAATCTAACTCATAACAGCCCAGGTCAGGTCACCAACTGATTCTTACTGCTCCAAACCAAAAGAAGTTCCTGGCCCTCTTAAAAGAAGAATTCCTTATTCTTGAATATATATTTCTCTATGGTAAGAAGTAAAGAAGTATCACCAGCACAAAATATACAACACTGTTCTTTCAAAATCAAAGAATAAGTATCAGAAATGCAATGTTCTAAAAAAAAAAAAAAAAAAAAAAGGACTGACTTTTCCTGCCCATCAGTTCAGACTTGCTGCAGAGTAAATGACCTTGACTTGACCTAACACACAAATTAGTCACTCGATCTCAGTGGTGACCACCTAATAAATATAGATAATAATACTCATCCTTCTTATGGGGACATCTTAAGGATTAGCAATGGATCAGATGCTGAGGCTCTTTTAATTTAACTGAAAGGAAGGCAGTATCTCAAGCATCATTACCATATTTTTCTTTAGAGAGAGAGAATTTTTTAATATTTATTTTTTAGTTTTCGGTGGACACAACATCTTTATTTTTATGTGGTGCTAAGGATCAAACCCAGAGCCCCGCGCATGCCAGGTGAGCATGTTACCACTTGAGCCACATCCCAGCCCTCATTACCATATTTTTTTTTGAGAATTTTAATATTTATTTATTTTTTTTTTTAGTTTTCGGCAGACACAACATCTTTGGTTTTTTTTTGTATGTGGTGCTGAGGATCGAACCCGGGCCGCATGCATGCCAGGCAAGCGCTACCACTTGAGCCACATCCACAGCCCGTCATTACCATATGTTAAAGTACATTAGTCCCTCAGATTCCTCAGAGGACTAGTTCCAGGAACCCCTGCAGATACCAAAATCTGAATGTTCAAGTCCCTTACATAAAATGGTATAGAATCTGCATATAATTTGTGCATGTCTTCCTGTATACCTTTAAATCGTCTCCAGGTTATACATAATACCCAATACAATGTAAATGCTCTGCAAATAGTTGTTATCTGTACTAAAATGTTGACAAGAAAAAAATCTACATATGTTCAGTACAGAGGTTTTTTTTAAGTATTTTTGATCTTGAGGATACAGAAGGCCCACTGAAGTTTTAAAGATGTTCACATTCAGTCAAGCATGGTGGCGCAGACTTGTAATCATAGTTATTTACAGGCTGAAGTAGGAGGATCACAAGTTTGAGCCCAGCCTGAGAAATACAGTGAGCCTTTCTCAAAATAAAATTTAAAAGGAGCTGGGCATGTACTTCAGTGGTAGAGAAGCTTGCCTGGTATTCATGAGCCTCGGGGTTCAATTCCCTGTCCAGGGAGGGGGAAAAATGTTCATACTCTCCATCCAGTCCTGGCCCTTCACGAATTTAATTTTAAAATAACATTTTTATATGTATGAAGATTTGAAGTTGGTGTCAACATACCTTATATACAAACACAGATATGAAAAATTGTGGCATATATGTGTATTAAGAATTGTAACGGGGGCTGGGGATGTGGCTCAAGCGGTAGAGCGCTCGCCTAGCATGCGTGCGGCCCGGGTTCGATCCTCAGCAGCACCACATACCAACAAAGATGTTGTGTCCGCCGAGAACTAAGAAAAAATAAATAAATGTTAAAATTCTCTCTCTCTCTCTCTCTCTCTCTCTCTCTGCCCCCCTCTCTCTCACTCTCTCCTTAAAAAAAAAAAAAAAAAAGAATTGTAATGCAAAAAAAAAGAGTACGTGTATAATGGCATAATTTGGCATGAACATACTTTACATACAGAGTTACGAAAACTTGTGCTGTAAATGGGTAATAATGAGTGTGATGCATTCCACTATTGTCATGTATATAAAAAATAAATAAATAAATAATTTTTAAAAAATAACATCTTTTGCAAAGAGAAATTTATTTGCAAGGATACACAACCATGGCGTTGTTTCTAATTGCAAAAAGTTGATAACCTTTAAACTCAAGCAGTAGGAGTGCTTGGCATAGTGGTAAAAGCCACTTGGAAGGATGAGGTAGGATTGTGAGTTAAGAGGCCAGCCTGGGTAACTTAGTGAGACAATGTCTTAAAATTAAATAAAAAGAGCAGGGGAAAGTAGCTCAGGGATAGAGTGGCCTGGGTTCAATCCCCAGCATCCAGCTGGTGAGGAATCCAGCAGCAGGGAAATGGTTAAAAATCAATGGCACCTCTATACAGTAGAATATATTAAAAGGTATTCTAGGAGTAACTCAGTGGTAAAGCACTTGTCTTGCATGTGCAAGACTCTGGGTTCAATCCCTAGCATCACATAAATACATACATACATACATACATACATCTAACATGATAATAGGTGGTATTGTCTGGGAAGGGGCTCAACGGAAATTAAGCCAAAAGGCTTCACACAAGCTAGGCAAGCACTCTACCACTGAGTTACATCACCAGCCCAATATTTTTTAAAATTACACTGACAAAGATTATTAATCATTAATGATTTCAGATAATTCTCCTGATATGAAAATAACGTATAAAAAGAAAACCAGAAAGGTAAAGCACCATAGACAGTAAGAACCCAATTCCCTTTAAAAATAAACACACACTAGTAAAAAGGAGGACCTGGTCAGCAACTCAATACTGAGAAACCTAGAATTACAAAGAACTAAATGAAACATTTTAAAAGCAATAAAAAAAATTTCAAAAAGCATTACATCATAAAGACTCGAATAACACTCCCTGGAATTATTAAAGAAAATAATAAAAAGAAAACCTAAAAACAATAGCAACAACAAAAAGAAAAGCTAGTGGGAAAACAGAAGCTCTACGTGTATTTACCCAAATGACTAGATGAAATGCAAATATAACAGAATTCTTAATTGGGAACCGGGAACAATGTGCCGAGACCCCCAATTCGCCGTCTAAGCCAAGACAAGACACGCCCCCTCTGAACCTCAGTTTCCCCACTTGTACAATGAGGAGGCTGCGCAGGACGTGGTCATACATCCCTTCCCAGTTCAAAATCCTGCGCTTCCCGCTTGGATGTGAAAGGTGCTTGCCGGGGAGAAAAGACCCGGTCCATTCACAGTAACTCCAAGAGCCCGGCAGCGGGCACGAACAGGGCACCCACGCCCCTCCCCCAGCAGGCTGCCGCAGCTGGCTGCAGGCCCGTTATCCTCGCCGCGGGCTGTTGCCCGGTCCACGCGGCTTCAGGCCTGCCTCTCCAGCTCACCTCCCCAGAGTCCAGGTCCAGCTCAGGCGGCCGCTCCTCGCGCAAAAGCGCCCTCGGGCTCGCCCGGCCCCTCTGAACTCACCTCAGCTCAAGCCCGTGGGGCACAGAGAACAATGGACGGGAGAGGCCCGCCCTCTGCCATGTTCATTGGCTGTAGAGGATGGCCCCTGGGAACTCTGCTCTCCTACTGGAGGAGACAGTGCTCAGTCTATCAGCGGGAGGGAGACTGGGCCCGAGGCATTATGGGAGATGTAGTGCATCCGAAGACAACCAAATCGCCGTCCGGGAGCGAGTTAGGGGTAGATAGCCTAGACGGTGCCCAAAGGCAATAGAGAAAAATCCGCGGACTGGTTGTCGGTACCCCAGTGTAGCCAAGGCTGTACCCGGAGACAAATTATTTCACTTCTCTAAGTCCTCCCTGTATTTGTCTATAAAAAGTGAAAGCTGGATGGGGGGAAAGTCCTTTTCAGCAGAGAACTGTATGGCAAGTGATGTTGGCACCGCAGACAGGCGAGTACAGACTCTGAACAGGAAAGGAATCCGTGCAGGAAACGCGACTCAACGCTCACTCTGGCTCTTTTCCCCGCAACTTGCAACTCTGCACATGCACCCAGCTTTCGCACACCCCTTTGTTGTCACACGTGGTGATTCTACGTCGGGGGGGAAGCCCCGCCCCGCCTTCACTGCCTCCTATCTTTCCGATCCTCCTTCTTGAAGCTTGCCCCATCATCACCTACCTAGCCTGAGATACCTTCCCAAGCATACCTGTTTGACAGCTCCGTTTCGTTCTTACAGAATTGCTTGTTAATTTCAGCAGTGGGTGTGTAGGAGTAAGAGTTTGACTTCTATCTTGGTATTCCCATGGTTGGTGCTGCTGAAGAAATAATTGCCCCAACACTACATAAAAACAGTGGAAATACTTCCCGGAAACCCAAGTGGGAATCTAAGAAAGGAGAGAAATACACTCTTAATGGTCTGTGATAGAATAATTGTATGTGTTTGTACAGAGTAATTACTGGAGACACACACAATCAAATGCTGCATTTATGTATGTTTGTTTTGGGGGTATTGTGATTTGAACCCCAGACTTGTGCATGATAGACTTGCACTCTACCACCGAGCTATATCCCTGACCCTATTAAATTTATTTTGAGACAGAATCTCCTTAAATTGCCCAGGTTGGCTTCGAACTTGTGATTATCCTGCCTCAGTCTCCTGAGTAACTGAGATTTCAGGCATTTTTCCACCATGTTCGGCTTGCTTTTAAATTTTGTTTATTTAAGAGTGTTTCATTTCTTACTAGTGACTTTAATCTTATTTTCTGTGAATTGATTACATTCTTTTTCATTTTTTAAATCAAGTTTATTTGTAAAAGTTCTTTGTATAATAAGAAAAGTATTCCTTTGCTGCAGAAGTTGCTGCTATTTTTCTCAGTGTGCTGTTTACTTTCTGGTGGTTTATTAAATTTAGAAATTTGAATTTTTCACCAGACATAGTTGTGCATGTATGCCTGTAATCCCAGCTACTCAGGAGGCTGAGGCAGGAGGATTGCAAGTTTATGGCCAGCTTCAGCAATTTAACAAGTCCTGTCTCAAAAGTTAAAGGGGGGGGGGAAGGGGGTGTTAGGGTGGCAAAGAATCCCCAGAACAGAAGAAAAAGAAGGAGGAGGTCGAGGAGAAAGAGGGGGGGGAGGGGGAGGGAGGGAAGGAGGAAGGAAGGAACTCAAAAAAGAAAAAAATATATTTTTTAAAATTTTTCATGTGGTCAAATTTGTTAATCTTATTTTTTTATAGATTCTGAGTTTTGTATTAGTCCTCTGCCCCCCTCCAAAGATCATTTGAAATTCACATGTTTTTCACTAATTAACCTTCTTAATTAATTCAAATACAAAGATGCAAAGTAACATTCAGCTTTGCCATTGGGTGACTGGATTGAATCCCGCCACCAATAGTTAACTACACCCTAGTAGCATCTTAATTTATTAGCTCAACCTGACCACAAGCAAACAGCACCACCTCCAGGCCACACTGAGAAGTCTACACTAAGGTTTCTGGAAGCAAATTCCTGGCCAACATTTATTCTAGTTGTCAGCATTCCTAGGAGATCTGAAAAATGATTAAGGATGATGACTTTGGGGGAAGACCTTGAATTAACAAAGATTTGTATCTCCAATTTTCTATCCTTAAGAGCAATGAACTTCATGCAAAAGGCAAACGATTTGAGGGGATAGGGAGATGCACAGCTGAAAATTTCCAGCAGCCCAAGTCCATTTATCTCTGCTCCCATCCTAAGTCAACCATTGCCCATAAGAACAGGCACTAACTCACCACAGGAGAGTCCTAAAGCCAGATGTCTCTGCTCTGGGCCTGATTTTCTGGGAAACTGGTCCTGGCCAATGTCAACTGTCCGAGGTAACAGAGAGCAAGCCGTGTTTCAGACAAATTCTTGGCATAATGATCCAATTGAGAAGGGCTCTGGTACCCAAGCCAGTTACCAAGACTAGCCCAGAACTGTAGGGCAATCCCAGAAACTCAGCCAAGTTTAGGGTTTCTTCTCCAAGTAATTTCTTTCTATACTGGCCAAATCAAAGAAGCTCTGTCCTAGCAAGGGAAATTCTTGGTTAAAGCTTCAGAAAACTACTCTGGCTAATTTAAGCAAAAGGGACTTAATGAATGACTGTCAAGAAATTCATAGGTTGGATGGAAGCTGAAAGATCCAGCTTGAGAATAGTTGGGAACTATGAAACAAAGTATAAGGCCCTAAGAACCACAACAACAACCTCTTATCATAAACAGTCCATCCTGCCCACATTAGGAACCCTGGTGATACTATAGCCATTTCTGTTTTTCTGTCTTCCTCATTCTGATTTCCAAATGCAAAGAAAGAGCATTTTAAGTTTTCTACTTCAGTTTGGCCCCTAACTTTCCTTACTAAATCACAAAAAGACAGATTCTCCATTCCAGAGACTAAAGGCCAATTCAGAAAAACTGGACAAGCAAAAATTATGTGTGCCACTACTTATCTTTAGATGCCAAAGGGATGTTGCCCCAAGAAATGCCCAGCCTAAGACTTTCCAGACCCTTTGCTCAATCAGAATTGATAGAGATGATGACTGTAGGAATGGGGAGAACCTGCTTTCCCTAATACCTGATCATCTTCAGGGCCAATGATCCTAAGCAGGCATTGAAGTAGAGAGGGCTTTGGGCCCTAAGGGTGCAAGTACCTGTTTCTACCTAAGACCTCTATCATCATTTCTTAATACAATCTCTTCTGATTGTACACAGTGGGATATTTCATTTTTGCTAGTTAGGCCATAGACCCTGGGCCATTTAATGTGACTGGGGAAAGACTAAATGAACAATCTGGAAAAAGTGGTTAGACTGGCTTAAAGAAAAGGGCCTCTTATCATATGAAGGCCCCGACAGAAAGAGGAAACTGGAGAATGGGATCAGGGAAATATTTATTTTAAAGAGGGAAGAGTGAAATTCAGTCCAAGAAAATATCACTGAACGATTGTGAAATTAAGTATCACATGACATATACCCATGTAAAAATAATAACTTTTTTTAAGAGTGAAATTTTTTCCATTCCCCAAGGCCAGTATGTTTTCCTGCTTTTTCTTAATGGTTTGTATTTAGTGCGACTGAGGAAGGGCCTTTAGGCTTTGGGCCTTTGGACCTTGTGTTACTCCTTGGGAGCTGCTGGCTTTTCTCTTAGTTGTCTTATGTTGGCCTGTGCTTCTCTAGGACTGGACACCCTTGGCCCTGTTCTAGCCCCCTTCGTGCCAAGAAGAGGGAGGAGAATGCATTTACAACCTCTGGCCAGTTCCCATGCCCTATTCTGAACTGCTCTATTCAAGGATATTTGTGGGAAGACATAAGTGTGTTCTGGTCTGCAAAAATGCCTCAGAAGCAGCCCCCGGTGGGGTGGTCCTTGCCAAGACACAGAGACAAGAGTGGAATCAGGGGTGTCTTGGGACAGAGTGTGCTCTAGAGGGAATTTATCTCCATAATCTGCAATGGCCCTATTACAAGTAAAAACTAATTATAAAGACAGGAAGAAAAAGGAAAAGTGAAATTTTTAAATACATAGGCATAGTCCCTACATTGTTTAGTAAATAGGAAGAAAATTATGCCTAGAATAGTCTGTTAGCCATTGAAAAGGAAAGGAAAAAATATATATTGCAACCTTCAGCAAAAGCAATGAACTTGGCAAACCAAAAGCAACTTTCAGACAAGTTCTCTAACCAGATTGTCAAACCAGACTGCTGCTTCTAAGCCATTACTATTACAAATATTAAAGCTGCTAATCACGAGAACCATGCGATTTACTAAGCCACATGGCCTGGGAAATTGAAACCTCCTCAAGGAATTGTTTCGTGACAAAGTCTATTCCCCTAATGGGCTTTTACTACTACTATTTGTTTCACACACACTCACACAAGCAACTTGAATTTTCTTTTAATTATAAAACAGATGCACTCAGAAATCAGGAATAAAATAACAATAATTTAGAATACACAAAATAAAAAAATATTTGCACCACATCAAAGGCCATAAATGAAATCAAAAGCAAAATTTAAAAATAGGAAAAATATGCACAACACATGTAACAAAGGGCTACTTCCTAATTGGCTATGACTTTATATAAATGAGCATGAAAAAGATCAAAAGTTGGATAGAAAAAAATAGATAAAGTATAATGATAACAAAGTCACAGGGATGGGGTTGTGGCTCAGTGGTAGGGCACTTACTTGCCTGGTATGTGTGAGGTGCTGGGTTCAATTCTCAGCACTGCATATAAATAAATGAATAAAATAAACATCCATCAACATCTAAAAAAATAATAATAACAAAGTCACAACGAGAGAGGAAAAGTGGGCTCACCTCACTAATAATTTTT